TATTTATTTTTTAGTTATCGGCGGACACAACATCTTTGTTTGTATGTGGTGCTGAGGATCGAACCCTGGGCCGCACGCATGCCAGGCGAGCGCGCTACCGCTTGAGCCACATCCCCAGCCCTTATTGGTTTTTTTGATTGTATACATGGTTGAGAAACAGTTGTAGGTTTAGAGTTCGTCCTTTTCAAAAAAAAAAGTCCAGGGAGCTGGGGTTGTGGGTAATTGGATCACTTGCCTAGCACATATGGGGCCCTGGGTTCAATCCTCAGCACCGAATAAAAAATAAATAAATAAAATAAAGATATTGTGTCCACAACTACAAATTTTTAAAAATCCAGCAAAACAAAAAGTTAGATAAATAGATTTTAGCCTGTAGAATTAAAAAATTAAAGAATTATTTAATAAGTACCTACCATAACCAGTGTTATAACTTAACTATGTAAAGTTTATTTTGGAGTCCTTTGTTTCAAAGATCATAGGAGGACATGTTAGTGCTGGCAAAAAAAGTGATTTGAATCACTGCTTGGCAGTAAGCAAGCTGAAATGCATCTTTGTGTGTTTTGTTTATAGCACATCTTCATTACCTCCACTAGACTGGCCTTTACCATCCCACTTTGGACAGTGTGAACTGAAAATAGAAGTGCAACCTAAAACTCATCATCGAGCCCATTATGAAACAGAAGGTAGCCGAGGGGCAGTAAAAGCATCTACTGGGGGACATCCTGTTGTGAAGGTATGAGAGTTTTGGGGCTTCTGTTGCACATACCACATACCTATTAATGGTTAGATGAGTTATTCATTTAGGTGTTACAGAGCTGATAGGGAGAAAACTCAAATCTGGAAAACCTCTGTTTTCTGTACTTGTAGCTCTGGCTACATTTCTGTATTGAGTTTTCTTTGAATAGTCTAAAAGATATTCTTCTTGACTGACTTTTCCAGCTGGAGAAACTCTGGGGAAAAGATTGCAGTGCATTAAAGATAGTGCTCTAGTCAACTTTTTATCACTGAAACAAAATACATAAGATGATCAACTGTGTAAAATTTGTGAGATAATCAACTTATGAAGAGGAAAGTTTTACTTTGGCTCATAGTTTTAGGTTTCAGGCTATGGTTGATTGGTACTGTTGCTGCTAGGCCTGTGGCAAGTGTGTGTAGTAAGGAAGCCCGTAACCATCTGGAGATTGGGAAGTAAAGAGAAAGAAAGGGGCGGTTCCTAACATCCCTTTCACTGGGGTCATATCCCCAGTGACCTAACTTCTTCCCACTAGGCCCTACCTGTTAAAGGTTCCACAGACTGATAATCAGGTCAGTCCTAATAATGCCACAGACTGACAATCAAGTCTTTAACACATGGGCAGAACTGTGGATTCTTATATGCTGTTCTTTTATTAAGAGTTTATTAACTCTTTTAACTCTTCTATTTAAGAGTTCTTCAAAGATCTAAGGTCAAAAAACAAATTTAACCAAGCATAATAGTGCATGTTTATAACTCCAGTGACTCATGAGGCTGTGGCTGGAGGACTGCAAGTTTGAGATCAACGTTGGCAACTTAGCAAGACTGTCTCAAAATAAAAAATAAAAAGGGCCAAGGAATATAGCTCAGTGGTTGAGTATACCTGGGTTTCAATCTGCAGTATTGCAAGGAAAAAAAAAAAGAAAAATTAATTATAATTATCAAGATATTGAAAGCCAAACTCAGAAGGTCAAAGATCATATGTTTTCTCTCACATGTGAAATTTAGGGACGAAAAAGGAAAAGAAAATTGGGGTGGGGGGAAATCAAGGGAGATCAGTAAAGGAAAGTGACCATGGGAGGGAGGAATGAAGGGAAGGGGTGTCTACCTTCCCACCCATTTTTTTTAGCCTTAGCCCTAAAGGGGCTTGAATTTGATGCCTGTTACCAGTTCTTCATTGTTAAGTTTAGTTGTTTAAGAAGGGCTTTGGATTCTGCATTCCTTGGTTTCTTTCATGATTGAGAATGTGTGTATGTAGTCTATATACTCAAACATCAGAATGGCTGTATGTAATAATATTATGTCATCCATTTTACTCTTAGAATTATGTAGACAGTATTTAGTGGAGAAACTAATTTTACTGGAGCAATTTTCAACCATTACAGTTTATGAACTATCATGTATTATAGCAGCTTTACTTTATGATTTATCATCATTGTTATTTAAGGATGTTTTAAAATGCAAAAAGAGATTTGCATTTTAGGCAGGTTTTAAATGATTTGTAACAAAAACTATCAGGAAAATAGAACATGAGACTTTGTCATTTGGGCTGGATGCAGTGGTGCCTGCCTATACTCTTAGCTACTTTGGAAATGAGGATCAAGTAGAATCTCTTGAGCCCAGAAGTTTTGGGTTAGTCTAAGCAACATCAGCAAGACCTATCTTGAAAAACAAAAAGAAAAGGAAGGAAGGAGGGAGGGAGGGGACAGAAGAAAGAAAAAATGAAATTCTGTCATTTGCTTTTAGAATCATATTTTGGTGTTAAATCAGAGTTTATTTCAAGTCAGTTAAATTTGATTAAGGATGTGGATTCTGCATCTTTTTTTTTTTTTTTTTTCCAGTACTGAGATTGGAATCCAGGGACACTGTACCACTGAGCTACATCCCCAGCCCTTTTTATTTTTTGAAACAGGGTCTCACAGAGTTGCTGAGGATCTTGCTAAGTTGCTGAATTTGTCCTCAAACTTGGGATTCTCCTGTCTCAGCCTCCCAAGTTACTAGTCACTGGGATAACAAGTGTACACCACTGTGCCAAGCAGTGTCTTGTATCTTTGACATTTCTTGTTAGGAAATAATTTTTTACAAATGCATAAATGGACAGAAGTCTTTTGGATGTCCTTGCAATTTATTTTTACGGTAATCCTTTGATTAAAAATGGTTTTCCTACTCAAAGGAAGATTAACAATCTCTGGTTTCATAGTTTTTCATATTCATCCTTCTTGTGAATAACTGATTTTTTCTAACTTGTTGCTTAAAGAATTATTTCATTATACTTAAAATAATGGACTTAATCAAGAGTATTCCAGATATTGATGATATTTTTGTCTTTTTTTAAAAATTGTGGGTTGAACCCAGGGCTTTGCAAATGTAAGGCAAACGCTTTGCCCCTGAGCTACATCCCAGCCCTGATGATATTCTTTATCAGTCTGTCTTAGTGCCTATGATGCTCCCTTTCTATTTGAGATTCCTTCTTCCTTCATTCAAAAATTTTTTTCTGTATAACATATGCTTATATATTTCCTATTTCATCATTTTCTTCAATGACTACAATTATTATTCAGACATTGACTTGTCTGTTTACCCTTAACATCTGTGTCGGTTCTCTGGGTGCTTCAATGTCATTTCTAATTTATTGAGATTTATTTTTTAAACTTCCCTCCACGTTAGTGACCTGATAGTTGCTCGACATTTCTAATTTACTTATTAGATCTGCATTTGTGTTTTAAATTTTAGTTTGATTTCTTGACTCCTTTTTTACTCATTTGGTATTTTACCATTATAATTGGCCTATTGCTTCCTTGAATTTGTACTCACTTCTTGAAATGTCACAAGCAATCCATTTCTGGGGTGTGTGTTTGAGGGAGAGGTTTTTATTTTCTTTATTAAAAGCAAACACATTTGTTCTTCAAATATGTTTTGTTACTCTTTATTAAGTGAAAATAAAAACTTAATTATGATAGTCTAGTACTTATGCTTTTTGTCCTTATTTTATTTGAGAGCCATGGTCTGTAGCCAGAAGAAATTGGAGCAAAGAGATAGAGAATTAGGTTAGCTGTCATATATACCTAATTAAAAAATTAATTAATTAATCTTAAAAAAAAAAAGAAAGTCAAATAGCGCATCTTGTTAAGTCAGTTGAATTTCTAAGTTGGTAACAGTTTTTCAGAATCTTAACTAAAGCAAAGTGCCTCTGATTTTAATAGTCTGTCAGAGGACCTTCCCACACACCCAAATCATTAGGTCTAGTCTAAATGGTTAATGTTGTCAAAAATAAAGAATCAGTTTTTTTTAAAACCTTTATTTTTTTTTTATTGTTGATAGACATTTACTTATTTATTTGTTTGTTTGTTTATATGTGGAGCTGAGAATCGAATCCAGTGCCTCACACTTGCCAGGCAAGTGCACTGCCACGGAGCCATAATCCCAGCCCCAAGAATCAGCTTTTGTTTGTGTTGTTCACAGTGGAATCAGAAGGATTTTAAAAATTTTTGATGATTCAGATGTTTATCAGGAAAAAAAAAAACCCACATGTCTTTGGAGGACTGTTTATAATAAAATCTAGTATATAAATGATGCCTATAGAGTCAGAGAAATTATTTTGTGATTAATACTTTTTTATTATTGTCTTTTTTGAAATGGCATTTTGTGTATCGATAGAATATGATACAAATAAAAGGATTTATAGATTTATAGCATTATAGAGCATGCAGACCTGAGTTTAGACTTACTTTTGTGAGCTTGTTGTAAAATGGTTTCTATAATGAATTGTGCTTTTTTCTCTGTTTGTTCTTCCTAATTAGCTCCTGGGCTATAGTGAAAAGCCGATAAATCTACAGATGTTTATTGGAACAGCAGATGATCGATACTTACGACCTCATGCATTTTACCAGGTGCATCGAATCACTGGAAAGACAGTTGCTACTGCAAGCCAAGAGATAATAATTGCCAGTACAAAAGTTCTAGAAATTCCACTTCTTCCTGAAAATAATATGTCAGCCAGGTATCTTGAAACATACTCCCAAATGGGCACTTCTTTCTTTTCCTGAAACAGCTTTCAAAAGGACATATATATATATATAGCTGGATATGGTAGTGCACACCAATAATCCTAGTGGGAGCCTGTGGTAGGAGGACAACAGGGCAAGTTTGAGGCCAGCCTCAGTAATTTAGCAAAACCCTGTTTCAAATTAAAAAACTAAAAAGAAGTAGGGATGTAGCTCAGTGGTAAAGTACCCCTTGGTTCAGTCCCTACTACTTTTCATATATATGCACACACGTATATACAACATAGTTATACACAAGTTATAATATGTCTATATATTACTTTCTTATCTAAAAATATAGTCATTGTTCCAAATTAACTGAATAATATTATATAAATAATTGTTAGCACATTTGCTACTAGTGGTGGCATATTTCCAAAAAGAAAATTCAATTTAGCATATGTTAGTGGATCATGAGCCACTAGCCAGGCATCATCTTAGGTAATAAAAATAAAAATATATTGACTTTCATTAATTACTCAGTGTAACAGAATGAACAATAAATAAATAATTGCAATATAATTGTAATTGTTAAGTGTCTGTAAGAAAAACATTTGACTTTACCCCAGGTATCCCATTTGACTCATTACTCTTTACCCCTCTCCAAATGATGTGGCTAACCTTTGATTGAGAATTCAAGTAAGCATCTTTTTGCTCCAGGATCTTACTTTTCCATATAGCATCAGAAACACATTAGTATACAGTTTGCTGTCTGCTGAGGGAAATTTAAAACTTAGCTTTGAACTGTCTTTTTCTTAAGAGCTCAAAAAATTGCTCTGGTAGGGGTCAGTGTGCAGGCATTGTTTTCATTCATTTCAGTGGATTGTCAGAGTACTATATTTGAATCAAGTTTAAGTGAAAATCACTAGAAGCTTATTAGGCTTGCTCATTTTACTTGAGGGACAGTATAAAAAAGAGTCATGAATACTCATTTAAATTTTTTTGAGATAGGGTCTTATTGTATTGCCCAGGCTAGTCTTGAACTTATGGTCTCAGATGATCCCTCTGCCTCAGCCTACAGTGCTGATACTACCTGTGTGCATCACCATGCCCAATTTGAATACTTCTTTCTAATCTGAAGAATTACTATTAAACATTTTCTTAGGTTGGTCACTGTTATATACAACACAAACTTCTTTCAACTTAAAAAAGTTGATGTTTCTTGATGGCATGGTAGGTTTTGCTTTACAGGCAACAGAAAACCTATAAAAACTTTATCGTTTTAATTTTTGCTTTGCTTTCCAGAGAGTTCATGGTTAAGCTCAGTTATCATAATTGTGGTAATTTATTACAGTTTGGGGTGTATTTATTTCCTGTTCCTTATACTTCAAAATTTTTTGTTTTTCTTTTCTTGGCCTTATTTATATTATAAAATGCCTTGTATCCTTTCTATAAATAACATACAAACCAATCAGTTAAAGGGGAAAAAAAAAGTACATGAGTTTCTGTGAAATAGTCTTAGGAAATTGGGAAAGGTTCAAATCCCAAATAGTGTGAAAAAATCAGAGTAGAGACAAAGCTGCAGGAACACCACTTTGACTAATAACAAGCAAATAGCTCTCTCGCCCCATCCTGCACATGCACACCTGAAGCATCTCTGGCTATTCTGTCTATTCTCCACTGATAGATCAGGGAGCAGGAATTATATAGGATCAGAGGCTTATGAGAATATTGTGCAAATTATAGAAAGCATTGAGTAAAGCCAGATGTGATGATACACATCTGTAATCCCAGCTACTTAGGAGGCTGAGGCAGGAAGCTAGGGCAAGTTGAAGGCTAGCCTGGGCAATGTAATTAGACCCTGTCTCAAAATAAAAAATAAAAAGTACTGGGGATGTAGCCAGTGGTAGTGGGTTCATTTGCCAGTATTAAGAAAAAGGATTGAGGGGCAACTAGGAAGTTACCCAAACCTAAGAAGCTTTTTCCATGGGGAATAGATAACAAAGAAGCTAATGCCAGATGATCCTGTTTTGCCTAGTAACTTAATACTAGGTAAGCTACTAACTGGGGTAAGCTAGTATCCAAGCAACTTATTGAATGTAACTATATTATATTCAATCATTGTAGTTTTAGACAGTGGGAAATATAAAATTCTAAGTGATAGATAAGACCATTGTTCAAAATAATTTATGTATAAGTGAGTCTTAGGTATGTATTAAATGGATTTACTGTTCTCTAAAGGCAATAAAGGTAGGAAGATTAGTAAATACTCCCCCAGTTTTACCTAGTTATCCACAAACTTGGTTATTTCATGATTAAATCTCTTGTACATATAAGACTAAACTGTAAATCACAGAGCCATCCTACAAGGTACTTCAACATAGCATGCCAGTGTTCATTGCCTTACCTTCTCATAACTCCTTTCTGTTTTTAAAATTGGATAAGTACAGATGTGGCAAAATTATACTGTGGTATAAAATAAGGACAGTTATAATTTTAAACAGAATTTAATACTTATTTTCATTGTTGTAAATGAATATTTCTATGGGTTTGTGGGGTTTTTTATGATTTGTTAGAATTTTGAGACAGTCATACATATCTTTGTTTTTTGACGTGATTCTGCATAGATATTTCTGCCCTGACAAATTGATAATACACATCTGTGTAATTTAGTTGTTTAGAAACACTTGTTATCAGTAAGCAAATAAAATTTTTGTATTTTTCTCCCTAGTATTGACTGTGCAGGTATTTTGAAACTTCGAAATTCAGATATAGAGCTTCGAAAAGGAGAAACTGATATTGGCAGAAAGAATACTAGAGTACGACTTGTGTTTCGTGTACACATCCCACAGCCCAATGGAAAAGTCCTTTCTCTGCAGATAGCTTCTATACCTGTTGAATGCTGTAAGTGAGATTGTGATGTTTTAAGATGTTATTGAAAATAGTTTATTTTCTATTTTGCTTTTAATGTAATGTGTACATTAAAAGTATAAACTGAAAGTGTGTGTGGTGGCACATGCCTGCAATCCCAGTGATTTGGGAGGTTGAAGCAGGAGGATTGCAAGTTTAAAGCCAACCTCAGCGACTTAGTGAGTTCCTAAGCAACTTAATGAACTTTGTCTCAAAAAATAAAAAGGGCTGGGGGTGTGGCTTAGTGGTTAAGCACCCAATTAGTTGAATCTACGGTAAGGAAAAAAAAAGTATATTTAAATAATGACTGAGAAAAATTAGATTATGTTTCATGTACCTGTAAAGGTAAAAAAAAAAAAAAAAGTACTGTCACTAAAGTAACATGTATACACTTCTAAAAATTCATTATTTAAATGTGTATTTCATGTGTTTCAATTAATTGGTTATTTAGAAAACTATACAAAATACATGTACACCTGATGTTGCAATGATCATCTAAGTATTCTCTTGATAAAAGAATTATTTGGTGTTGTCCTTTAGTAAGTTTTTTAGATTTGTCTTCTGTTAGTTGTATGTAATACAGTTATACATTTTTGTACTAATATGCTTTTGGGATAATTAGATTTGTAAATTTTAACACATGATTGTATGGAAGAAATATATTAAAAATTTAATTGGAAAAGAAAAGATGAGATAAATGGGAATAAACGTGAAGTTAAAGATATTAAGTAGTCTAAGAAAATAATTTAAAGATATAACATTTTAATATATCCTTCCTTGTTTTTTAAACCAGCCATGTTCTTTCACTGTGAAAGCCTAATGAATTAATCCCTAAATTTACTTTTAATTTTATTTTGTAGCTTGAGCTTGTCTCATTTATGTGAAATCTTTAGACTAATATTTTGGTTTTTTTCCTCAACTGTTAAAAAAAAAAAACAAAACAGCCCAGCGATCTGCTCAAGAACTTCCTCACATTGAGAAATACAGTATCAACAGTTGTTCTGTAAATGGAGGCCATGAAATGATTGTGACTGGATCTAATTTTCTTCCAGAATCTAAAATAATTTTTCTTGAAAAAGGACAAGGTAAATAATATAAATTGATTGACTATAAGGGGCAAAAGGATGAAATAAATTTAGATATTTAATTAACATTAATCACAAAATAATTTCTCTGACTCTACAGGCATCATTTATATACTAGATTTTATTATAAACCAAACATTTATTCAATTTCCATATAAACGTGGAATTCTCTTTAAGCATGTCTTTTCCTTGACATTTCTGCTCTTAGGTACTCATTCAAAGAATTGAAAACAAAACAAAAATTAAGTTACAGATGTTTTTAGCAACATTATTCATAATAACCCAAAATTAGAAACAACCCAGACAACACCTCAAATACTCAACAGTTGGCAAATGCATAATCAGAATGTGGCATATCCATTCAATGATAAAAATTAATGAATTAATAAAAATTAACATGTGATTCGGAATAGATGAACCTTGAAGTCGTGATATGGTACTTGAAAGAAGCTCACACAAAAGACCATATACTGTATAGTTTCATTTATACAAAATTTCCACAATAAATAATCTATGGACACCAAAACTAAGTTAATGGTTGCTCATAGTTGGAGAGGGTTGTCAATTTGAGTGACAACTGATATCTGCAGGGTTTCTTTGGAGGGTAAAAAAAAAAAAAAAATCTGAAATTAGAGACAGGGTCTCATTGAGTTGCTTATTACCTCGATTTTGCTGAGGCTGGCTTTAAACTCACCATCCTCCTGAGCCACTGGGATTACAGGCCAGCCCCACTGCACCTGGCTGACTTGTATAGTTTGAAAGGATGAAATTAGCCTGGAGGGCTGGCACACACCTGTAATCTCAGTGACTTGGGAGACTGAGGCAGGAGGAATGCCATTTCATGAGCAGCCTTGCCAAGTTCAAGGTCAGCTTGTGCAATTTATCAAAATCCAGTCTCAAAGAATAAAAGGGGCTGAGAATTTAATTCAGTGGTGTACCTCTGGGTTCCATCCCCATTATCTCTCCTTTTTTTCTCTCTCTCCCTCCCTCCCCAGTTTCTCTCTCTCTCCCCCCCCCTCTTACACACACACACAAGCACTCATACACGCATATGCACACAGAAAGAAAGAGAAAAAAGAAATTTATAAGATGTGAATTATATTTATAGATTGGGTTATATCAACTTTTGAAAAAGTAGAAGAACCCTATGTTTATTGGGGAGTTTATTTTTAGCCCTTAAGAATATTTAAGACACTTTTCCATCATTTGGTCTTCCCTCATCTTTAACAATAACTACAAATTGCCACTCTTAAAAATAATATAAACAAATAGTTTATACCTATCGCCCCATTTAAGACATACAACTTGCAGCTGGGCTCAATGGTGAATGCCTGTAATTCTAGTGACTTGGGAGGCTGAGGCAGGAGGATCGTGAATTCGAAGCCAGACGCAGCAACTTAGTGAGGCCCTAAGCAACTCAGGAAGACCCTGTCTCTAATAAAATATAAAGAAGGGCTGGGGATGTGGCTCAGTAGTTAAGCACCCCTGTGTTCAATCCCTGCTACCAAATATATATTTATACATAATATATAAATTGCTATAGGAGGGTTCTTGCCAGGCTGTCTGAAGTGGATCCTTTGCCTGAATTGATGATTGCTTTTTTCTCTACAGTTTTATTTTATTTCCCTATTTTGGGATTCTATAATAGTACATATATTTTTCTGGGAATTGGTTATTTCAGAGGTCAACAATAAGATTGATCTACATCCATCCATGTAACTAGAATTTTTTCACATTCACTAATATATAGTTTTTACTGTTGAATATATTAAAGTTTATTATCCCTTTTCTTAGTGGGTATTTGAACTGTGTTCATATTTTAGCACTGCCAACAGTAGCTTTCAGTGTTGTTATGAATGTTCTGGTCCTTATTACCTGGTGAATTAAATTTTTTTTAATGTAGTAAAATGGTATTCTGAACTTTGGTATGAAATTTCCTGATGTCTATTAAGAATTTTGTTGACAATTCATGTTGACTTTTTGTGCAATACCTGTTCTTGTCATTGCCCATTTTTTTCTGCTGGGTTAGTTTTTCATTTATATATTCTAAATATTGAAGTGAGTTAGGGAAGTGTACCACATCTTTTCCCACTATCTGTGACAGAACAGCCATTATTTTCCAAAGATGGAGTGGGTTATCTGGTGAGGGAATGAATTTCCTTTCCATCATTTGAGGTATATGAGCAAAAGTTTGCCACTATTTTGTGAGTTCACTCTGAGGATTTTCATTCACTTGATGGATAGAATGAATTCTTTCTCCCCATTTTTTTCCCACAATTATGCTTTCTTTTCACATTGGAAGTCAGTAAGGAAAAGATTCCTTTTGCCATAAATTTGTGATACTACATACATAAAATTTTGTTAGTATACTTTCTGACTTAAATTGCTTTTAACTGAAATTGTTTCTTTCAACAGATGGACGACCTCAGTGGGAGGTAGAAGGGAAAATAATAAGGGAAAAATGTCAAGGGGTAAGAAATTCAGTCTTTGTGTATATAAATTCAATCTTTGTGTATATAAAATAACCTTTAATATTTGATAGAATAAGGTATGTCACTGCATAATATGTGATGCATTGTTCTACTAGAAGTTGGATGATTAAAAAGCAGTTTCTCAGCCTGTTATGGTGGTAAATGTTTGTGGTTCCACCTATGTGGGAGGCAGAGGCAGGAGAATCACCTGAGCTCACGAATTTGAGATAGCCTGGGCAGCATGACAAGTCCTCATCTCAAATAAATAAATAGCGACCTGGGGTTGTGGCTCAGTGGTAGAGCACTTGCCTGGCACCTGCAGGGCGCTGGGTTCAATCCTCAGCACCACAAAAAAAAATAAAATAAAGGTATTGTGTCCAACTACAACCAAAACAACAAAATGTTAAAAAAATAAAAGAATTTTTTAAAAATGGCGGGGTAGGAGTTTCTCCTTTAATGATTAAAGGGTTTGTCTTTGTCAAAACTGAAGTATCCATGTAGTAAATCTCCAGATTACTTATATGACTGATTGATGTGTATAATTTTGTATGATGGTAGAACCTTGTATTTAAGACTCATAACTTACTCTGAGTTTAGCAGGTGCATTACATTTTTAGTTCTGAATGTAACACAATCTTGCTTTTCATGCTCCTTAGGCTCACATTGTCCTTGAAGTTCCTCCGTATCATAACCCAGCAGTTACAGCTGCAGTGCAGGTGCACTTTTATCTTTGCAATGGCAAGAGGAAAAAAAGCCAGTCTCAACGTTTTACTTATACACCAGGTATGAGGAGTTTTTGTGATGGTTTATTATAAGCTTTCTTTCATATTGAATAAAAATTTGCTCAATGGATATTCAAAGTACTATGATTATAATCAATAAAAATATCAACATATACCTAAAGTTTATATTGACTTTAAATGTTTTTTTTTAGTTGTAGATGGACACAATACCTTTATTTTACTCATTTATTATTTTTATGTCATGCTAAGGATCAAACCCAGTGCCTCACATGTGCTAGGCAAGCACTCTACCCCTGAGCCACAACCCCAGCTCTTCTTTGACTTTAAATATGAGATGTGCTGATAGTTAACTTGTAGTGATTTATTATTAAAAAAAAAATCAGAAGATGAAATGTAAGTTTGAAGTTTATTTATTTAGTGTAGATAGACACAACTCAATGCCTTTATTTTTATGTGATGCTGAGGATCGAACCTGGTCTCACCCATGCTAGGGGAGTGCTTGAGCGCTCTACCACTGAGCCACAATCCTAGCAAGTTTTTTTAGAAGTTGTCAAAAATCATCAACCCTAGCTGGGTGTGGCAGCTTTAGAGCCTGAGGCAGGAGGATCACAAGCTCAAAGCCAGTCTCAGCAACTTAATGAGGTTCTGTCTCAAAATTAAAAAAAAAAAAGACTGGTGATGTGGCTTAGTGGTTAAGCGCCCCTGGATTCAGTCCCTGGTTACCCCACACACCTCATCCCCCCAAAAAAGTCACCAACCCTAAATACCTTTGTCTTGGGAGACTGAGGCAGGGCAATCACAAACTTGAGGCCAGCCTAGATAACTTAGTGGAACTTTGTCTCAAAATAAAAAGGCTGGGGAAGGAGGGGCAAGTGTGTGTGAGTATGTGTATGCTGTTGGGTCATGAATTCCCTTTATAGCCATAGCACACAGAAAGACAGTGTGCCCATTTCATAATGCCTTCATCTTTTTATTTTTTTAAATTGTTTTATTTGTTCTTTTTAGTTATATATTAAGAGTAGAATGTATTTTGACATATTATACATAAATGGAGTGTAACTTCCCGTTCTTATGGTTATAAATGATGTGGAGTTACACTGGTCATTTATTCATATATGAACATAGGAAAATAATGTCCAATTCATTCTACTGTTTTTCCTATTCCCATTCCCCTATCTTTCTTCATTCTCCTTTGTCTAATCCAAAGTACTTCCATTCTTCCCCCCCTTATTGTGTGTTAGAATATGCATATCAGATGATGATTTTATTTTAATCATAATGGAAAATTTCAGGGCTGGGGATGTTGATCAGAGGTAGAGTACTTGTCTGCCATGCACAGAAAAAGAAAAAGAAAAATCTCTTGGATTTTCATTTGACAAACATCAGCTGTGTCATACTATGGGCTTTGGGGGCTGTAATGTTGATACCAGGTTTTTTGATTTCACACACTAACAAAGAGATGTTGATACCTCTTTTTGTAGCAGTTCAAGTGTTGTAACTTTCCAGTTTTTTATTATGACACAAAAATATATGCAGTAATACATGCTGATGGTTGCATACTTGGAGAATAAATATTTATTGGTCTTTTCTATACTAGGAACTGTGCTAGTCACCAGGGCATATGATAATTTAAAAAATTGTGGTGATAAAATGGATAGTAGACTGTATCAAAAAGTGAACAGTAACAACAGAAAACAAACAAAGAAATCATGGTAAATTATCCATAACTTATTCTTGGAGAAACTTTTAGTTTATAGTAAGTGAGAAAAACAGTTATATTTGAGAAGGTGCTAGTTGTTATTAATGGTTTTTCATTTATCATGCATGTTTTTAATGGCCTGGTTATATTTCATTTATTGTCTATAAGGGCTACTTATATTCCCAAATCCAAAATCATTATTATTTGATAATGTTAATATATTACTTGAATATAATATTTCAGATAGGGCTGGGGATGTGGCTCAAGTGGTAGCACGCTTGCCTGGCATGCGCACGGCGCTGGGTTCGATCCTCAGCACCACATACAAATAAAGATGTTGTGTCTGCCGAAAACTAAAAAATAAATATTATTAAAAAATAATAATAATATTTCAGATAATTGAAAGATTGAATACAAATCTTTGAAAGCTAAAGATTTTGTTCATTCACTAATTGAGTAAGTATTTGGGTGGTAAAACCTGCTAGGTGGCAAAAACCTGTCAGTCCTTTTTTGCATAGGACTTATGTCTAGTGGGACAAATAGGACTTGGTAGGTAGGTAGATAAATAAATACTAGCTAATTTGAATTCTGCTCAGCTTTGAAGCTTCCTATGTGGGAGTCCCCATTCCACTTTGATTTCCAGGAAGCTATTGAAGCAACATACCTTCCCCTGAGCCCAATAGAAGTTACTTGCAGTAGAGGTATGATCTGAGCTCTAGTTTTGGAAAAATGGGGCCTTGCAGGGTAGCATTGGAGTCCAACTCTCATGTGTAACGTTGTCTCTGGGAAAGTATATTCTGTATTCTAAGCAGTTGATTGGATAGCCTGTCTTTTGGATTGTGGTGGTTCTGATTGCAAGAGAAAGCATGCTGTAGAGTGAGGAGATCAGGTATTAGCTCCACCCCAGATAGTACTCACTGAATGTAAGTAAATTAATTTCAAATGGTTTTTAATTGTTTAAGTTGCTCCATTTCTCATATAAAGCTTTATGTAAAACCCAATATTATTAAAAAGAATAAAAGCTTACTAAACTGCACTCTTTGCAATGAAAGACAAAATGTAAAGCTTCTGGTATCTGAATGTTGCATTCACTGCCATATCTACTACTTGAAGGGAAGTGTTAGGCTGCCAGTGGTTTGAAAACCACTAGACCAGTTAATGTTTTTCTTGAATGCCTGCATGAGAGTATATATATAATACAAAAGATAGAGATAATTTGTTTCCAAAATTCAATTCATTCTAAATATTGTTAAGCTTCCTGTGTTAGTTTTTTGTTGCTGTGACAAAAATATCTGCATAAACAACTTAAAGGAAGAAAACTGTATTTTGACTCATGGTTTCAGATGCTTCCCACTGTTTGGCTCCATTGCTTTGGCCTTGAAGCAAGGTAAAATAACATCATGGTGTATGTGTGTGGTAAAGAAAAGCTCAAGGTATTGGGGGGAGGGGGTTAGGACAAGATATAATCCTCAAGGGCACACCTCTGGGGACCCATTCTTTCGATTAGATTCTAATAATGCCTTCAAGATCATTAACCTTCAAGATCATTGTGAGATCCCATAATCCAGTCACTTCCCAAAAGCCCCCACTCTGAACAGTGCTGTATTGGGGAGACCAGGCCTTCAACATTTGAGCTTTTGGGAAATATTCCAAATCCAAAACAGCATTACCTTTAACTATCTTTTATCCAAACAAGAATAAATGACCATGGATGGGCCAGTGGTGAGGACTTCCATGGTTTGGTCAGGTTGGAGTGTCAGCCCCTTATAGACAAAAAGAATAATAATTGATTTGGCAGAGCAGAACTAACATTCAATTTAGCAGAGCAAATCTCTCAATTTAAGTATACAGATGTTGGTTAAAAGCAATAAGAATAAGGTTTGAATCATGTAGGGAAAAAAAAAATAGATGTTACACTGTAGTTTTCAGTCCCTTTGTCTGGCCCCGATGCCACCCCGTACTGGGGATTGAACTCAGGGGCACTCGACCACTGAGCCATATCCCCAGCTCTATTTTGTATTTCATTTATTAGAGATAGGGTCTTACTAAGTTGATTAGTGCGTCACTGTTGCTGAGGTTGACTGTAAATTAGTGATCTTCCTGCCTCAGCCTCCTGAGCCTATGGGATTACAGGTGTGCACCACTGCACCCTGCTTTGTCTGCTTTGTAGTCACGGTAAGCAACCATTCATGTAACCAAGGGATGTACTTCTGCCCTCAGAATTAAGGGATAAGAGTAGGCTTTCTTAATAGTCTCTCTCCTTAAGTAGAAATATAATTCTGGTTATAGGATTCATTGTAACTTTTCTGAGACCACAGTAGGAGCTGTAGTGGGGGAAACCACAACAACAACAAAAAGTTCTACTGGTTTAGGGACACAATTCTAATTCTGCCAAGGACAGAATAAAAGTCAGTAGGTGAGAACTTAAGAAAAGCCAGGAACCAGTAGATATGGTGAACTTGTAACTCCTGAGCAAGAATCAGAAACAGGATAGAGGCCTGAACAGTGGTGCTCAGAAGCAACAAGATTGCTCATAACATTTCTCTCTGTCCTTGGTGTTCTTGTCTCATTGTTAGTGATGGGGTTAGCTTTGCCAGATTTAGAGCTTACTGCAGGTTGATCATGAGCCCATTATGTTCTTGTTAGGATGTCAGCATAAAATGCAGAATTCAAATACTCCTCTAAATAAGCATTCATTTCTCTCTTTTTCTGTGAGAATGTACTATCAAGTAACCAATTTTTAGCCTAAACAAAAGACTCTAAATTGAACATCAAATTCCTGAACTAACTAAATGACTTTGAAAAGAAACAAACTTTTCAATTCTCAGATTGAGACCATGATTGTGTGAAGAGACTTGTATTGGGCAGGAGTTTTATAGATAGTCACATGAGGTTTGATCTTGATTTAGGTCTCTTGTCCTCTTCTGACATTAAATGAAGTTCTTTTATTTTGTGATGATTGTGAAAATTTTAATTATGTTAGCTGGAATTATAACCCGAAAAGAGCAATGAAAATAATAATTATTTTTATTTTTTAAAAATATCATTATTGGCTGGGGATGTGGCTCAAGCGGTAGCGCGCTCGCCTGGCATCCGTGCGGCCCGGGTTCGATCCTCAGCACCACATACCAACAAAGATGTTGTGTCCACCAAGAACTAAAAAATAAATATTAAAAATTCTCTCTCTCTCTCCTCTCTAACTCTCCTCTCTCACTCTCTCTTTTAAAAAAAAATATATCATTATTATTTTGGTGGTACTGTTGATCATATCCAGGGGTTTAGTATCACTGAGCTACGCCCTCAGCCCTTTTTATTATTTAAAACAGAGTGTCACTAAGTAGCTTTTCATGTCTCTTCAATAGGAGACTTGAAGCGGGTAATTTTTAGAAAACTAGATAAACAGTACTTGTTAAGGGAAATATTAAAATCGGTCTACTGGTAGTTAATTTGGAAGCTGATTTTATATGCTCATTAAACAAAATAAATTCATTAATTCCTACTATGAGAGATCTTTTCATCAGGAAGATTCATCCTAAATCATGAATATACTGCTTGATGTGATAAATAATAATGGTTGGTATTCATAGCCTCTGCTTGCTTGATGGAATGGCAAATCGAAATCTTTATAATACAGTGTACTACATAAAAGGTATGGACTTTGGAGGCAGAAAAACCTGGTTCAGATATTTTTAATGCTGCTTAACTGCTGTATTTAAAATCTCCTTTTAATCTCCTTTTCATTATACTCATCCTATAAGGTAAGGAAATAATCTCATAAAGGTTGTCTTGAAGTAAGTTAGCATCTTTCAGTTGCACGGGATAGAAATCCAATTTAGACTCTCTTAAAGAGAACTTACTGGCTCATTTAATTAGGTTAACCAGAAGACTAGCTTTTTAAGCATGGTTCAGCTGAAACAGTGTTGTCTCAGGCTCAGGCTTTCTCTTTGTTTTAACACTGCTTTTTTTCCTCTCCTGTTGGCTCATTCTCTGGAAAGCTCTCACCAGATGGCATTTCTAGGTTTGATCTTGTTAATTAGCAATCCTAGATTAAAGAGCTGGCGTGTGCAAGTGTGTGCATGCACACACATACACATAACACATATACCTATATGTCTCAATTTAGATGATCATATTCAGATCTAGCCAGGTACAGTGGTGCATGCCTGTAATCCCAGTGGCTTGGGAGGCTGAGGCAGGAGGATCGCTAGTTCAAAACAGCCTCAGCAAAAGCTAGGCAATAAGAAACTCAGTGTTGTTTTTTTTTTTTTTTTCTCCACTACAGCTCTAAATAAAGTATGAGTAGGGCTGGGGATGTGGCTCAGTGGTTAAAACTGAACAACCCCTGGGATTGCCCCCCCCCCCCCCGCATGCCCCGAGAAAAAAAGAACAAAATAAATCTCTAAGTCTAATTCTGTTGCGTTTTGGGGTTCTGCATATATTCTGGATATTGAGCCCTTTTCAGATATAGTGATAGGTTTCAGATCAAGGATTCCAAATTCAATGCTTTATTAACCCATAGAGTTTAATTTTTTCTTCATTTATTTTTGGATAGGTAGTATATACAAAGTGAAAAACATTAAAAGGCATAAAAAGTATATGGTAAAAAGTAAATCTCCTTCCCGCTTCTGTCTTTCTGTACTTTCCCAGTAGTGAATATAACACTTAATGGTTTCTTGTGCATCTTCTTAGAGATATCCATACATATACAAACATTTGTATATGTATATATACACTCAGTGTTTTACATAAAATGCCCTTCTCTGAAGGTATTTGAGTTTGCCATTCCCAGCTTGGATACATATTACATTTGTATAACTTAAAATGAAGGTCTGCCATAATTATTTTATGTATTGCATAATAACATAGTTCTGATCATTTTCTTTTCAGTTTTGATGAAGCAAGAACACAGAGAAGAGATTGATTTGTCTTCAGTTCCACCTTTGCCTGTGCCTCATCCTGGCCAGACCCAGAGGCCTTCCTCAGATCCAGGGAACCCACGTGACTTTTTACTGTCAGCACCGAGAGGCTTGGTTTGTCCCATTCAGCAAGCATATGCCTCTATGGTAACCTCATCCCATCTACCACAGTTGCATTGTAGAGAGGAGGGAGCAGGTAAAGAGCAGCATATGCTACCTTCTTCAGTTGTGCACCAGCCTTTTCAAGTTACACCAACATCTCCTGTGGGGTCTTCCTATCAGTCTATGCAAACTAATGTTGTGTATAATGGACCAACTTGTCTTCCTGTTAATGCTGCCTCTAGTCAAGAATTTGATCCAGTTTTGTATCAGCAGGATGCAGCTCTTCCTAATTTAGTAAATCTTGGCTGTCAACCGTTATCATCCATACCATTTCATTCTTCAAATGCAGGCTCAACAGGGCATCTCTTAGCACATACACCTCATTCTGTGCAAACCTCGCCTCATCTGCAATCAATGGGATACCATTGTTCAAATATAGGACAAAGACCTGTTTCTTCTCCGGTGGCTGACCAAGTTATTAGTCAGCCTTCCCCTCAGTTGCAGCATATAACATATGGTCCTTCACATTCAGGGTCTGCTACAACAGCTTCCCCAGCAGCCTCTTGTTCCTTGGCTAGTTCACCACTTTCTGGGCCACCGTCCCCTCAGCTTCAGTCTATGCCTTATCAATCTCCTAGCTCAGGAACTGCCTCATCACCATCTCCAGCCACCAGAATACATTCTGGACAGCACTCAACTCAAGCACAAAGTACAGGTCAGGGAGGTCTTTCTGCACCTTCATCTATAATATGTCACAGTTTGTGCGATCCAGCATCATTTCCACCTGATGGGACAACTGTGAGCATTAAGCATGAACCTGAAGATCAGGAACCTAACTTTTCAACCATTGGTCTACAAGACATCACTTTAGATGATGGTAAGTCCATCTATGTGGGATTTTTTTTTTTAATGTGTTTGTGTGCTCACGTGTGTGTGTGTGTGTATGTATATGTGTGAATGTGGGGTGAGGTGGAGTTACTGGAGATTGAACCCAGGATTTCACACATGCTAGGCAGGCAATTCCACCACTGAGCTATATCCTCAGTCCTCATCTGTGTGTTCTTAAAGGAATGAAAATTCAGAAACTTCTCCAAGAGTCATGAAATAGTTACTGTGAATTACTTATTGGCATAAATAAGTAAATCGCTATTACTAGAAATACATATTAATATATAACTTTGACCATCAGTAGGAAAATCTATACTTTAAATTGATATACCACTAGTATTTATTGCTGAATTAGGGCATCCTTTGAACATATAATAAAATCACAGTATCTAGAGAATGGAATTCAGGAGCATTAATTCAGTGAACATTGCTGAATAATACCATCTATTGCAAGAAATGGAGCTAGATTCAGAGAATACTAGGAATATATTCAGGTAGAATTCCTGTCCTTGCAGAGACTTATACAAGTGTCCTTCATGCTCCCCTGTGGAATTGATAGCTTGCTGAGTCAGTTAATGGTGATGTTTGGTTTGCTGTTGCTACTACCGACTGTTGGCACAGAAATAAAATTTTTTTCTTTTTCTTTTTCTTTTTTTTTTTTTTTTAGGAGTAGTGTCTTTAATGGGTTCCGCCCCCAATGCCCGCCAAGCTGCCCTTCTAAATTTTATTTTTATTAATGTATTTGGTATACAAATTTCTGATTTTGTGAAATCATTCAGTTAGAGAACTATAGGATAATTAATCATTTCAATAATCAGAGTTTCCCAAAGATAGAATTTTCAGGTCATAATTTTATAGCTTATTCTTGGCTTTGTTATTTGCACAAAAATGAAACTTTGTATATATATTCAGTTAAAGCTACCTTAGAAATGGAAGTATGTCTGGGAAAGCATGATTCTGTGACTAGGGAATGAATGGTACAATAGAGAATGGTTTTCAAGGCATGAAGGTTGGAACATCCCTAGACAAGAGAACCACACCAAAAACTAGCATAGCAATTTCCTATTCATTATCTAACCCAGACCTTACTATTCCTCTACTTCTGAGGTAAATAGTGAAATTCCAAAGGTCACACCACTAGTAAGCATCAGAGCTGAGACTTTGATTCAAGTTGTTTGTTTGGGTTTTTTGTTTTGTTTTGTTTTTGGTTTTTTTTTTTTTTTTTTTTGTCTCTTTTGTGGTGCTAAAGCAGGTTTCTGAATTTTTAAAAAATATCTGGATAGTTAGGGACATTCTTAGGAATATGTGTGCAAAATTTCACTGCATGAACACATGTTGACAGCTGCATCTGATATGTCACACTTGCAGGATCTGGTATTAAACATCTTGCTGTGCTGTCTCTGCACAACTGGCGTAAATGTCACTGCTTATTTATGAAGCCTGGAGATATACACAGAAGATACTACCACTTTTATGCTAAACAAATTTGAAATAAAGGCTTTTCCATATATACACAGGCTTTTTAAATGTTATCTATACTTTCTTTAGGCAGTTTTAAACTTATTTTTCATAGTGCTTTTCACCCTGAAACCTTGGGTAAGATCTTATCCTCATCACTCATTTATGTTGTAACTGAAGATATGAGATTTATTGAGCAGGTTTCTAATGGTATTTCAGCTCTTTTTTTTTTTTCAATAAAACAAACGAAGATACTTTTCCTTCTAAAAAGAGACCAAAGCCTAGAACCTATTTACTACAGATTGAGTGATATGAAAAGAAGGGCACAACAAATTAAAATTTCTAGAAAAGGTTTTATGAAAATTGATTTCACCTTTTGAATATATGAAGATGTATTGCAAAAATAGAACATCTGGAGAGATGGGGTCTGAAGGCATTATATAAAAGCAATTTTATTTTTGCTTCATTCATTATATAGGGGACATGATCAAGAAAATTTTCAGATTGTAGCCTCACAGAGGACAGGGACTGGCTATTGAATTCTCTCATTGCCACCCGTCAGAGGATTTGATACAAACTCAGTCATGTCAAGCACTAATTAGAAAAAACTAAATGTATTCTGTGCACCTTGGATTATTTGCTATATGTCTATGTTTGTGTGTGTGCATGTGCATACACACACTTTTTTTTTTTTTCCAGTGTTGGGAATTGAAACCATGGTCTTACATATGCTAGCCTAGTACCCTACCACTGAGCTATGTTCCCAGCCCCTTGCTAAGTTGCCAGGGCAGGCTTCAAAATTTTGATCCTCCTGCCTCAGCCTACTGATTTGGCCAGCATCCTGATTTTATTATAAAATCAGTGACATTTAGAAGAGAAGATATGAGTGCATCTGGAAATATTCTAATAACACTTGATAGATGATCAAGAATGAGTCTTACACAGAGCCTAAAGTACACAGTGTTATATACTTCAGTTAATGGCAGAGAGTAAAGATTTAACTAACACCCAGGTCTCCTGATTCTAGGAGTTCAGCAATCATGTTTATAATTAGCCTATGGGTTGAGGTGTTAGAGTAGAACATACAGAATAAGTGAAAGAAAATGCCATTTTCATACTGGTGAGTGAAGCTCAGTGGTGGAGCACTTGCCATAGCATGCAAAAGACCCTGGATTTGATCACTAGAATCACAAAGCAAATGAACAAACAAAAAACATAAATGTCATTTTCTCCATAGATGCTTGTTTTATGAGAGGGGCTAGGACCATCTTAATGTAATTCTCAGTATTAGATGAAGTTTTAAATGTTCTCTATTTCATCCTCTTTTACCAGAGGAGCACTTTAGTGTTCTTTGTGATATTATATTTCTTTGGGTTCCTTTGGAACATCTGAAAGCCTCTGAAGTTCTAGCTCTTCTTTTTGTTTTATGTGGACTCTGATACCTCTGGAATCATGCAGAATTAATTGAATCCTTCTCTTCACTGATGTTTAAGTTTATTTTCACAGTGTGATATCCAGAGGGAACATACTCTAGTCAGTTCAGTATAGGTTAGGATCATCACCTTACTTCTTTAGAAGACTATCATTATGTCTTGAGATCATGGGATTTTCTTAGCTTCATTGTGCTGTTAATTTAAATTGTGAGTTATAATTATTTTCAAACTCATCCCCCTTTGTTTGTATCAAAGACTAAACTTTACAGTTATTCTCATTCAGTTTCATTGAGGTGGTTTTGAACCCCCTCAAAACAACTTTCCAAACTTAAAAGAGTTCCAGAAGCATTTGTGTTTAATAGATGTATGGTTCCTGCTTCAGGGAGCATACCTTAGGGGTAATAACAGCTGGACTTTAACCCAGCAGTTCTCTTTCAAAAGTCAGTCCCCTTGGAAGGCTGTAGTCTATACTCATTCAAGGAATTATTCAAGACTAATTTTGATACTTGCCTTTATTTTTTTTTCCTTAGCTCCCTTCATATATCATTGTCTGACCTTGAAAAGTGTGTTCTAAAGCATCAGATTATCAATGAGTTTCTATTCATGCTATAATTGGTATGCTTAGAACTGTAATTTTTTTATAAACTTCTCTGCATTATGATGTATTTACCCCACTTTTGGGACCAAAGATTTAACCACTTATTTTATAATAAATGTAGAAATTGTTATGGTTATGTTTTAAACATTAAAACATAAATTGTCACAGTTATGTTTTAAAGATTACATTATTGTAAAACTAGACTGTCTTAGACCATTAAATGTAGTCCCATTTAATTTGTGATTGAGCTAACTGAATCCTGTTACAACTTTCCATTAGAGTCCTTTCTCGAATCCCATTTGTCCTCCTTTGTTCACAGACTAACAGAGCTGCAGCTGCAGCTTTTTATCAGAGAAGAGGTTGCATGTTAAATATAGCCTGACCTGCTGGCTGTGGTGAAAACTGACACTGCCACTTGCGGGTTCTGTGTAGCAACATGCTGATCCTGACATGTAGGGCAACTGCAAATTTGACAGTAAACGGGGTCTCTAGATATGACCTTAGCTGTTTCAGTTCTGTGTGTAAGTGACAAACAGAAAAGCCTGCTTTTAAGTAGATAATTTTTTTTAAAAGCAAGGAAATGATAAACCCATGATCTAAATGGTTACTTAATGGGGGAAGCAGGAAGCTTGTGTGAGGGAGGAACAGAGAGGTAATTATGTCAGCATTTTGGTGTACCTGTTAGATAGTAGTTTCACTAGTGTTTACATATTTATATAAATAATTATATTTAATAAAACATGCCATGCACAGCTAATAGGGAGAGAGTATCATGAATGAGATTATTATAGTTAATCTACTTCTGGGTACTGGAGAAGAGGGGAAAAGATAGTTAATAACTGAACTGTCTCCTTTAAGTGTGACACTGGCTCCTCTTTCAGGAACATAAATGTACCATCCAGCCTTAGACATATTTATGATGAATAATTCCAGAAACTGAAAAGTCCCATAAGTAATGTCATGTAGGTCTGGATTCTGGCTTATGCAGAGTATTCAAGACCTTAGACACTACTATCCTGGTATATACAATAAGAAACATTAATTTTCAGATCCAATGAAGAAAAAAGGTATTTTATATCAAGCGTGTCTTTGTATCTTTATAGACACAATCATTCTACACCTTTAAAAATAAATGTTTTACAATATGAGCAACAAATTTTTCTTTTAATTAACTTTATATTAAAATTTATACGAAAGCTAGGAAAAAATCCAAGAAAGGCCACTGTTAAATAAATAGCACATGAACCAGGTGTGGTGGCACACACCTATAATCCCAGCTGCTTGGGAGGCTAAGCAAAGAGGATCACAAAACTGAGGCCATTCTGGGCAATGTAGTAGTGAGACTCTGGCTTAGTGTAAAGTAAGAAAGAATGGGGATGTAGCCCAATGCTTGAAGGCTTGCTTAGAATATTAAAGCCCTGGGTTCAATTTCTACTTACTTAGCATACTTGACGCCTTGGGTTCAATCCCTAGTTTGTATGTGGAGGGGGTGGACAGACA